CCCATTAATTTCGTCGAATTCCGATCAAAATACAATCCATTGACAGCCCTAGACGAAATCCAGGCCGAAATGAACGCACCGAAAATGCAGCAAAGTGATTGGGACCGACTTCGCGATTATAAGGCACGACAACTTTGATATTCACATTTTGTGCGAAACGTGACTTTTTCGAAAATGTCTAGTGTTGTACGAACGTAAAAATATAATTCGATGTCTCTGTTAAATTTAATAATTTTTGGATTGTACATGCACAATCAATGAATAATTGAATAAATAGATTCTTCCAAATTTGGCCTGTAAAAAATATGCACGATACCCGAACAACGCAAATTGTATATTACATGGAACGTACCTTGTGGTTGGACAATAATGTAATGGATTGGATATTAAGTATTTTGAATCAAAGTGCACAGGTGGAAGAGCAAAATCGGAAAAGTGGAAACATTTCAACTTGAAATGATTACATTTTTTACTGTAGCAGATGTGCTATCAAGACAAAATAATGCATTTTTAGTGTAAAAATGGGCACCAAACGTACGTACTCTAAACATCATGATGTGATAATCAATTATTCTTCACATTTTTCTCTCTCCTCCCATCTTTCTCATAAAAATTAAATTACTTAATCACATTATTTTAAACAGACTATCACATCACCAATATTTAATCATCATAATGATAAATAGTATTATTCTTATTCAAATGAATGAATCTGATTGATTTGGATATTCACTACCTGGTCCTTGCAAAACTTGCTATATGTTGGTTAGTTTTCGATTAAAATATCCACACATACTAGCCAAGGCCTCCCACCCATTTCATATTCACCCGTATTAAAATACCACCTCCACAAAATACACAATGCTCTTTTTTTTTCGCCTATGCAATGTGTAAAGCACGTACAAAGGATTTTACGAGTATATTACCCTCCTTAACCTCTATTTTAACAGAAAAAATATCTTTTATAAGTAATACACAATAATTTTTCCATAAAATAAAATGAGACAAATTTGCAAGAGAAAAACTGAAAGAGAATAATTACAAAATGGAAATTAAAGAAGGACCGCACGCGTACACGTGCAGCCAAGCTGGTAATTGCAGGTGGCCTACCAACACGGATTTCTTCTCTAACATGTCTCTCGGATTTTCCTTCAAACTCTCTCCAAGAATCATCAAATCAGCAAAAGATAAAAATAAGCAAAAAGGAGAGAAAAAAAAAAGATTAGAGAATCAGCTTCTCTCCATTACAACCTTCACATTTCCT